ACAGGATGTGCGACGAATCGAGAATTGTTAAAAACGCCACGGCGTTCCATGACCCGTTGACCTAGTAGTTTCCATTTTCTTCTCCATTCTGCCGAATATTACACCAAACCCGTGGAAAGGTCCGAGGGCACGGCGGTGGAAAGAATCTGCTCGAAGGTTTGTGCAGTCAACCTGCTTGCAGTGCTTGCACGCTCCGGACTGGCGCTGAGGACGCTTTTACTAGAGGCAACCGTAACACTGGCGCTTGTGCTTCTGCAAGATTCAAGGCAACTAGCTGTGGAGCTTAGTGCGCGAAATGGCTATCCCTGCTTGAGCTCAGTCAATGCAGCTACAGCAGGGGTACGTAAGGCAGGCATGCTTCCATTGCAAGGCGTGCGAGTTTAGCGCCGCAAGCCATAGGCCAGCCCGAGCACATCAGGTCCGCTAACTTGCCTCTCCCAGGTTGCTTCCATCAGCCACCTCACCATGTACCTCAATCATCACGATGCTGACTCAATCTGACTCATCACCAGTCTCAGCAGAGCTTACAAACACCACAGGTCCCGAGCTCAACGATGTACTTCTTGGCAAGTCCGAGAGCAGAAAGAAGCAGCGTCAAGGGTGGGTTGTCAATCTTCGCAACATGGACCTCACTAAGCCCATGATCATGCAAATTGTAAAACATGACACTTGGGGCATCCAGTCTAAGAAGCTGAGACACCTGCCGGGTTCTTACCCGGGCTCCCCCAGATTCCCACACCTCTCTCCTGATCAAGGCCAGGCAGGAGACTGATCATCTTTTATGTGATTACTAGTATGACTACCATTTCTATTATCAAATTACCCGTATTGCTATTATTACAATTATTATCATCATTCATACTATTGCTATCATTATTATTATTAGTTGGGACTTTGAGGCCATGGCATGGGTCCAAGCCCCAGTGGGCGGAGCCGATGATGTACCACCTTTCTGGCTAAAGTCCCACCTGCAAGGCTTCAGATGTTAAGACCCAATCGGATGCACAAGGTCGGAGGAGATTCAGGGATGGTCTTCGTAAGCAGAAGCTCAGTTTCCATTTCATCTTCCATGGTCGTTTCCATTTGATTGTCCATTATCACTTTCAGACCCCCTATATGACCCTGCCTATAATATACTACGATATACTACAATACACTATAATACACTATGATATACTATAATACACTATCACATACTTCTACTTCTATTATATATGAAAATATACTATCATATACTGCAATATCCTGACATATACTAAAAACTGACTTTAAGCAGCAGACCCGATCTTGTGGTCTGGGACTTCTTCCTTCACGTTCTCGGCCGACCAGAGCCGCTCGAGCCTTGCAGGTGAGAAAGCCTTTGGGGAAAAGAGGCCCTACAGTTGCCAAGTGGGTTGTATAGGGATCATATAGGGGTTGTGTGGGCTTTATAGGGGTCATGTAGGGATTATGCAGGGGTTCTATAGGGATAATAGGGATTATATACGGTCTTTATAGGAATTATGCAGGGTTTTTAGGGGGCCCTATAACAAGGGTTATGATGA